AGGGACACTCGGGGCTGCGCCCGTCTGGGGCCGGCCGGGTCACTGGGATCCTGTCCCTTCCTGCCGGTGTTCGCTGGAACATCGAGCTCGGTGCACCGGAGGCACCGTTGTCCTTGTGTCCTTTGACTCGCCGGGATGGCCCGCTGTCAGCAGCCGCTTCCTGCTGTCTGTTTGCCCCCCGACAGGTCACTTGAGATATCAAATCAAATTGCGAGTACCAGACGTGTTCTCTACATTCTGCCGTGTTGCAAAACACGTACTGACGGATTCAGGAAGAGATGCAGTCAGGGGTGTTAAAAAGGGGCCACTTATTTTTAGATGTGCAGTCTGGTGCTTACTCTCTGCTGCAGCAGTAAGTTGGGCAAACATCTGGGTGCCCTTGAGCAGCAGCCCCAAGGGCATGGGCGGGGGGACAGGGGTGGTCCACTCTCCGGATCACAGCAGGATGGGGAGGGCACCGGTGGAGCCGTGCCGTGCCCTGTCCCTCCTCCCTCTGCAGCACCACATGTGCCAGCATCCCTCGTGTCTGGCCCCTTTGCCTACCCATGGAGCCAGGATGCATGGGATATCTGGTCCCATGTCCAGCTGCCCACCAGCCATCCTTCCCACTGGCCACTGCCCATCCTTCCTACTGCTCACTGGTCATCCCTCCCACTGCCCTCTGGCCATCCCTTTAACTGCCCACTGGCCGTCCCTCCCAGTGTCCAGCCACAGGCTGCAGTGCTGCTAGCTTTGAACACAGCCCAGCTCTTCCCAGCCCTTAATCAGGCCCAAAAGGATCACACTGCTGTACAGACAGGACAAAACCTGTGCTGGGCCTTAAGTGACTGTGCTTTCTGTGGGGGTGCCCCTTTTGTAATACGGCTTTAATAAAAAGTGAAGTTGGATCATTTATAAGTGATGTAGAATCATTAGCAGTTAATTCACTGAGCTGAACAGTGGCACACTTTTCCCAGAGAACTCAGTAGCATCTTCTTGACTTTATAGCCAGAATGTGTTTGTTTCAGAGAGCATGCACTTTGGAGCCCTTGCATTCACAGACCTTTGTAGCAACAGTTCTGGCACAAAGCTGCTTTGCTCTCAGCTGCAGAGCAGTCTGGACAGTATTAGGTGCAATGTGGGGATTATACACAAAGCTTTGTCCTTTGGAGGTCTTGTAACAACTTTGAGGTCTTATCTTGAATTTCATAGAAACCTGGAATGGTGTGGTTTGGAAGGGACCTTAAAGCCCATCTCATTCCTCCCCCCTGGTATGGGCAATCACACCTTCCACAAGACCATGTTGCTCCAAGCCCTGTCCAGCCTGGCCTTGAGCACTTCCAGGGATCCAGGGGCGGCCACAGCTTCTCTGGGCAACCTGTGCCAGGGCCTGCCCACCCTCACAGGGAAGAATTTCTTTCCAGTATCCCATCTAATCCTGGCCTCTGTCTGTGAAAAGCTATCCTCTCCTTGTCCTGTCATTTTGTCCAAAGTCCCTCTCCAGCTCTCTTGGAGCCCCTTTAAGCACTGGAAAGGGCTCCAATATCTTACCAGAGCATTCTCTCCAGGGTGAAAAACCTCAGCTCTCCCACCCTATCTCCAAAGTAGAGGTGGCTGGGATTAAACATTGCTCTGTGTATCTAGGGTGAACTTCTCAAGTTTTGACTTCTGAGGCTTCTTGTCTTCTCTCTTCGTGATGGGTGTGCAAATCCCGTATGCTCAGAAATGTGTTTTCTGCAGTTGATTCTGCATCAAACTGATCAAGGAACACTGGTTCTTCTAATGCAGAACAGTAGCCTGGACACCAAGTCTCCTGTCACACAGGCTCAGGGCTGCTGGCCTGGGGTGTGAACCAAGTGTGCTTAGGATACATGAGGTGTGATGCACTGACAAGCCATGTGTATTGTGGCTCTGATACGTCCCCATGTCCTCTCACCCTTTTACTGCTGGTGAGTGACAGGGTCTGTGCAAGCTTTGGCTCAGTACAGCTGGAACACTTGTCAGACCTGTGTGGACTCAGCAGCATGGCTTGTGAATTGGTGCAGTGCCTTTGTTCTCCAGTCACCAAGTGTCTCAGTCCCAGGGCAGTGTCTGGGGTTTCATCCCCAGCCTGAAACCTCAGCTGGGATAGGTTGGGCACCTCACAGAAGCCCAGAAGATTCTTGAGAAGAGCTGGACAGCTGCTACAAACTCCATCCACAAACTTCTGTGGTGCAGGGATGTCAGACCATGTCTTTAATTTCTTCACGTACATTTAAAGGTTGGTAGTCTAACCGCCCCCATCACGCATATTCAGGACTTTTTAAATTCTGTTAGATGTGAAAAAAGCACCTAATTCATTACTGTTGATGCGTCCTGTGAAGCACCATATCCTGTTGTTGTCCCAAGGCCAGCTGGCAGGGTCTGGTCATATCCATGGTATCATGAGATCCAAAGAGGGAGGCGCTTAAGTGCTACCTGTGAAGAATGGTTTTCTGCCTTGTCCTAGCTTCCAAGTCATGCCCAAGAGTCGTTTGGGCACATACTGGCTGGTGCAGACCGCATCGGATCCTGGACCAATCTCCACCACTGGATTCTTGGGTTGTTCTGACCCCATTATGTTTGTTAGCACAAACCTTGCTAGCTACCCAACTAGTGGTAACCTAGGACAACTATTCTTATGCTTGAAGACAAGCAGAAACATGCGGCCCACCATGCACCCACACTTTGAAATGCCTGTGTCTAGGACAGCGCAAGGGAGCAGATGTTTGCTGGATGACAGGTGCTGCCTGAGCTCAGCTGTTAACTGAGCAGCTGACCTGATGCCAGCCATGGCTGGGGCAGAAAACCAGACAAGGATGGAAAATGGCCCAGTGGAAAAGAACCTGAGGGTGCTGGTTGACAGCAATTAAACATGAACTGGCCAAGAAAGCTAAGAGCATCCTGGCTTGTGTCAGCAATAGTGTGGTAGCAGAAGCAGGGCAGTGATTCCCTGTGCTGGACACTGCTGAGGCACCTCAAATCCTGGCTGCTCACAAACAGCAGACATTGACAAAAGAAAGACATTGACAGGCTGGAGCGTGTCCAGGGAAGGGAGCAGAGTTGGGAAGGGACTGAAGCACAAGTCTGGTGGGTGGCTGAGGGAGCTGGGGGAACTCAGGCTGGATGAAAGGAAGCTCAGGAGGCACCTTTGCACTCTCTACAACTCCTTGACAGGATGGTGGAGCCAGGGCGGGGTTGGGCTCTGCTTCCAGGGAACAAGTGACAGGACAAGGGGAAATGGCCTCAGGTTGTGCCAGTGGAGGTTCAGGTTGGGTATTAGGAACAATTTCTTCACTGAAAGAATGGTTAAGCATTGGACAAATTGCCCAGGGCAGTGGTGGGTTCACCATCCCTGGAAGTGTTCAAGAAATGACTGGACGTGACACTTTGCAATGCGGTTTAGTGGGCATGGGGTTACTTGGTCAAAGGTTGGAGTTGATGATCCTGGAGCTCTTTTCCAACCACAATGATTCTATAATTTAATCTACAGGAAGTTCAGCTCTTGTGCCGACAGAGTACACCCTGGGCAGTGGACAAGCCTGGGTCGGCAGCTTTGTTCAGCCTGTTTTGCTGTTGGCTTGTAGTTAAAGACTCCCTCCCTCTTATAGGTTAGTGATGAACCAGATCCCCATGTGCAAAATTCTACAGAGATACACTCCTTGTAGGATAAAGAATGTTTGAGTGTATCTTTGAATCCTTTCCAGTTTTCCAGACTCGTTTTCTGAAGGAGAAAAACAGAATCCTGTGGTGTCCTTGTCTCTGACAACCCTCTCTCCTAGTGGTGTGTCAAACTTCTGGACACACACTCAGTCCCAGGGTCTCTCTTAGAACATGTTTTCTGGGCTCTTCTCTTTGTTTTAATTGCCCTTGGCAGACCACAACCCTGAGTTTGTCAGAGTGGGAACCACAGCCTTCCTCTGGTTTGATCTGAATATGGGTATATTCAGATGTGAATTAATGGACTTAAACAGCTGGCTTGCAAAAATCACCTCTTTTTGTGTTTTAACTGACGTTGTTGGTGGTGTCACGGTTGTCCTTTCTCTTGTTCTCAGGTGCCCCCTGGAACTCTTTTTCTATATAAATCACAGCACTGACCCTGTAGCCCTAGCTGCTACACAGGCAGCTTGTAGAAGGGCACTGACTTAGATGTGGGGAGTAAGAACACACAAACAGCAGCTTCAATGTCTTCCATGTGCTCCTGTATCTAATTTCCAGACAAAATTTGTCTCTGTGTGCAGGACTGTGTGGGATCCTGTTGTGCTCTTAGTGCTGTGAAATCTCAAATTGGCAGTGGTGCAGACCATAGGTCAGTCAGGTCAGCTTTCCATAGAGCAGCAATGGCCAAGCATTGCTGCCAGCTTTGCAGTCAATGGCATTGCACTGCTGGTGATACCTAAGATTTTTAGCTTTTTATATTTTTCATATATTTGTGGCTACGTAGATTGTTAACACATGGTTGTAGCTTCTCGTATTTTTCCTGTCTTTCTTTCCTACATTTAGGAATAATAAGCTAACCTTATAAACACATTTCTAAAAATATTATTTAGTCTTATTCCAAGAACAGAACCAGCTACAAGGACATTCTGTTTTCCAGCCAGAATGTGGACCAAGCATAACAAAAGCGGGGCAAGAGAAACTTCTGGACTGCTTCCACTGGGGCAGGACCCCAGGAATTATTACCTAACCAACTAACCTTTTAATTGGACAGAATATGATAAGTATACTAACCGACTAACCTTATATAAATTGTAGCATTACTATACTACATATGATTTTCACCATATTGTGCACCTAAAAGCTTTCAAGTAAAGGTTTGCTTATATATTCATTCTTAATGTTGTTGGGAAGATCTATTTTCCAGGCATTACTGGAACAGCCAGCTCTGCCTTCAGCATTGGCCTTTCCCCATGCCCTGGAGCAAGGAGTAATTCCAGGCAGAGGAGATAGCCAGGCTGAGTCGTAGAGTGTGTTTATTCCAAGGTGCCCCCTTTCTCTGTCACAATCAATATATCATTGCTGTGTCTGGGCTGCTTCCTACTCAGTTCTGGGTGGTGTGCCAAGCGTTTGTGGCATGCCCATCCACAGGGGAACCCCAGAGCTCTGCACCTGCACACTCCTCATGCACAGAGTGGGTAGCTGCCTGCCAGCCCAGGAGGCACCATGCTATGCATGTGTTGCTGCTGGCAGGGCTCAGGCTTCTCCATCTGCTGTGCCACTCATCTCCTCTGGACAGGTTCACCAGGGAAGGTGCTCCCTGTAGCCCTAGCCAACGTGCTGCCATTGGCAGGTGTTGGAGAGGCCTCACGGTGATGTGCAGGGCTGAGTGCCTGTTCTGAGACATCTTCTTTTGCCTCTTTCCTGTGCCTCGCCATGGTCCATGCCTGGCTCACGCAGACAGGCCACCGTCCCCTGTCAACGTGACTGTGACGCAGCTGAAGGCAAACTCTGCCACAGTCTCCTGGGACGTACCAGAAGGAGACGTGGTCATCGGCTACGCCATTCTACAGCAGGTATCCAGGATCTGTCCCCAGGGGACTGGGGACACTGATTACCAGCATGCTCCTATGTCGGTCCTTTTGCCACAATCTGGGGCTCCTCTGGCATCTGCCCAAGGACATCTCTGTTGCTGAGCAGCTCTTGCCAGGGTGCCCCATCTGAGCCATCCATCCTGGTGGGAAGCAGAGGACTGTGGGCTTCATTGGGGGTAGTCCCTCCAATGGCTTCCCTGGGATTTCTCTAGGTAAGGATGGTGCCTCAGCCATGATATAACCCTTCTTTGCTTGCTTTGCTCCACCTATGCAGCCCTGGGTGGTGGTGGCTTCTCCAGGGAGGTGCCTGGCTCTCAGGCCATGCAGGCATGCTGAATAGGCACTGCTGGGCAGGCTGGCCCGCCCTGGGGTGGATGGTTGCCTGGGAAGGGAGGAGTGAGGGCATAGCCCTGCAGCTGGTGGCCTGTGTCTGGTGCCACTGGAAGCAGCCTTCTGGGGGTGACAGTTCTTCCCTCTGGCAGAGGCAGGATGGGCAGATGCAGCGCTTCATCCGGGAGGTGAACACCACCAACCGTGCCTGTGTGCTGTGGGACCTGGCAGAGGACGCTGACTACATCATCCAGGTGCAGAGCATTGGCCTGTATGGGGAGAGCCAGGCTAGCAAGCGTGTCCACTTCCGCACCCTGAAGGAGACTGACCGCCTGCCTTCCAACAGCTCCAACCAAGGTGAGGCAGCTCCTTCCAGCTCACCCAGATGCCTCTGGTGAGGCCACCTGGAGGCCTGTACAGCAGATGGGCAGGGATTCAGCAACCAGTGAGGAAGGTGCTGCACTGAGCAGCAGGCTGCTGGGGACACAGGCTGCTGTTGTGTCCATTATATGTCCATGATAATGTCCCCAAGCCACGGTTTGCAGCCCTCCTATTCCAGGTCTTGGCTCCTATTCAGCTGGGGAGGCTGGCCAGGACAGCTGCTGGGGCCTGCCCAGCTGCTGCCTGTAGGAAGCCAGTACTGAACAGACTCTCAGATCTCCCAGACTGCAGAGGCTACCAAAGGACAAATGACAGAGCACCATGGTCTCTTTTACTACTCATATCTGTGTTGCCTTGGGGTTGCCTACATGCTGATCCATGAGAGAATCCAGGAATTCAAGAGAGATGATGCCCATAGAGAGCATGGAAGTTTGTCTCCAGCACTAAACATGAGAGGGGTCTTGAGTATGACAGGGCAAGCAGATGGCTGACTTTCCACAGAACTTCTGTGTTAAACTGACCTGACCTGCCCTGGTTGCTGTGTAGAGACAGATCTTAGTGATTACTGGCATGCATTGTGCAGTCCCTACATGAGCCCAAACAAGCTGTTGGAATCCCTGGCTACTTCAGTAGCAAGGATGGTTTATATGACACAGGAAAGCCACGGGATGCATGTCCTCTCCCCAGACAGGATGTCACCCGACGTCCTTCCTTGTTTGGGGGAGGTGGGCTTCTCTCTTTTGGAGTTTCTCACCTTCTCCAGTGTTGCTGTAGTGGGAGGGTATCTGCTGCCAGCCCTGCTTGGGGTCTCTTCTCTGCAGGTGACATCACCATGGAAGGGCTGGACAAAGACCGGCAGCTGCAGACAGGCGAGATTATTATCATTGTGGCTGTGCTGCTCATGTGGGCAGGTGAGTGCCACAAGCAGTGATCTGGCGGGCTGAGGCAAGGGTACAATCCTTGGTTCACAAAGAAGATGTGGATCAAGAGAGTGCAGAGGCACACTGGTGAGGGTCTGGCACCCTTTCTAGTAAGTGCATTGAGTCTCTGTAGGTGCTGGAACCAGTGGGGTAAAAGGAGCAAGGACAGCCACTGCTCAGCAGTAATGGCCTGGAGTATGTTGAAGAGCAGGAGACAGAATGGGACCTGGAATTACAGGGTGGGAGCATCCCAACTGACAGTGACGATTGTGTTGCTTGGGCCTTAGATGTTGTGACTGCTAACAATACTGCACTAGCTGGTAGAGGCTGTGCCTCAGTCTGCTAAAGCTGTAAAGAAGGTGATTTGCTCCAGTACAGCACAATTAGAGCCAGTGCAGACTGCCGTGGAAGCATGGGAGCCTAGGAGGTAACTCAGCTCCTGACTGGCCACATGCAGCTGCTGTCAATGGGAAGTCATTGATCCCCTTCTCCCTTCCCAGAAAATTTGGATTTTGTAGTGGCATCTTGCAGGAATTTCTCCTTGCCCTAGCCTTGACACTCTTCTAGGGCACTGGAAAAAAAAATACAAGATGACTGCTGGTAGTTTACACCTGGCATAGGTTGATGTATCAGGATGCCAGCTGGGAGGAGTCAGGCCCAGTCTGTGTGTGCCTGTGTGTGTCTATGTGTGCCTGTGTGTGTGCACTGTGTGTGTGTGTGCACTGTGTGTGTGCCTGTGTGCCTGTGTGTGTGTGTCTCTGTGTCTGTGTGTCTGTGTGTGTGTGTGTGTGTGTGTGTGTGTCTGTGTGCACGCTGTGCCTGTGTGTGTCTATGTGTGCCTGTGTGTGTGCACTGTGTGTGTGTGTGCACTGTGTGTGTGCCTGTGTGCCTGTGTGTGTGTGTGTCTCTGTGTCTGTGTGTCTGTGTGTGTGTGTGTGTGTGTGTCTGTGTGCACTCTGTGCCTGTGTGTGTCTATGTGTGCCTGTGTGTGTGCACTGTGTGTGTGTGTGTGTGTGTGTGTGTGCGCACTGTGTGTGTGTGTGTGTGCACTGTGTGTGTGTGTGTCTGTGTCTGTGTGTGTCTCTGTGTGTGTGTCTGTGTGTGTGTGTGTCTGTGTGTGTCTGTGTGTGTCTCTGTGTGTGTGTGTGTGTGTCTGTGTGTGCACACTGTGTCTGTGTGTGCACTCTGTGTGTGTGTGTGTGTCTGTGTGTGTGTGCACACTGTGTCTGTGTGTGTCTGTGTGTGTCTGTGTGTGTCTGTGTGTGTCTGTGTGTCTACACACACTGGGGATTGATCAGTCCAGCTTGGTCTCACCTGGGGGCATCACTTCAGACTCCTGTGTCCAGGGTTCCCAGTTGTGGGACATGCTGCATGAGATGCATGCTATGAAAGCATGACAGACTGATCCCACAGACAGTTTGCACAAAGAAAAAGGCTGGCTTTTGTGAGAGTCACAAGCAGCAGTACAAACTTTAATGCCTTGCTGGAGGCACTCCAAAGCCCATGCAGCTGCCCATTGACCTCCCTGTCCCTGTTTGAGTGCCTCAGCGTCTGCCTTTGGTGAGTGCTGAGCGCCTCGTGTGGCTCAGTGGCCTTAGCCACATCCATGCCTGTCTGTCCGAGGAAACTGGCCTGGCCACACATGCAGGGGTACCTGGGGTGGTGCAGGCTGATGCAGGTGGGGGTGTGGGTTTGCAGCATCCCAAGGAGCCCTGGGCACAACTGCCCTGCAGCTGGAATGCTGTGGGGAGGGGAGACAGAGGCAGCCACTGTGAGCGAGTCCTTCATCCAGTCTGTCTCTGGGCAGCGGTGATCGCCCTGTTCTGCAGACAATATGATATCATCAAGGATAACGACTCCAACAACAACAAGGAGAAGACAAAGCCATCCTCAGAGCATAGCACACCAGAGCGACCAAGCGGAGGGCTGCTGCGGAGCAAGGTGAGTGGGGAGGGCAGGCAGGAGCGATGGCATGTGGTGTCTTCTGGGGCTTGCAGCCTGGATGGAGTCTGGCTCTCTCCAGAAATGGAAACAACCTGGCTTGTGCTCTCACCCCAAAGGCTGAGGGCTTTTAGGGTTCAGTGAGCCCTGGTCTCTGAGGCAGTGTTTGTGCCCCATGGGTGATTGCCAGAGAAACATGGGAAGAGACAAGAAGATAAAACAGCTGGGATAGCTCTTGCATTGCAGGGTGGTACCTGACCTCTGACTGTAACAGACCCTTCATCACGCCCCTCCAAGGCTGCATCTCTCCTGCACTGATGGACAGGTCTGGCTCCTTCCTGTTCAGGCGGGAGTGGACACGCTAGGCAGCTGTTCTCATGGTTCCTGCACTGGTCTGTGAGCGCTCACTTTCTGCCTTTACTGCAGCTGGCTCTGGGTCATCACCACACAAGTTATTCCAGAGCCCCTTCCTCGCCCTGGTGAAGTGCTATGCCAGGCTGTGGATGGGGAGGGACCAGTACCTTCATCTGGCTGTTCCCTCAGCACCTGACAATTCTCCCTTTGCTACCTGCCAAAGACAGTTATAGCCCTGATACTCTAATGAGACCGTATGTTAGGGCTTTGCTTGTGTCTCATCTGCTGCCTCTGTCAAGGGTGGGAACTCTCCTCACTGTGTAGCCTGACTTCCACACTGATTCCACATCTTGGTTTCCAGCAGATGTCAGGAGCAGAGGCTTCCTGTTTGGATTTAAGTCCCCAGTTCCCCTCCTTCTGATTCTTCAGCTTGCTGATTACTCCTTGCCAGAGAGATCCCTCCTCTTGGATCTCGACTCCCTGACCCTGCTCTGCTGAGGTCTGCTGGTCGTGATGGCTGCTGCAGGCTGAGGGGCTCTGACATCGGGTCTGATTCCAGGGGTGCAGCAAAGCAGGGTCTTAAAGTAGATTTTTCTCTCATAGAAGAAATCTCCCTCAGTCAATATCATCGAGGTGTAAGTGCAACACCAGCTCTGCCGTCTGGGATCTTGGGTGTCCTGCCAGAGCCAAAGCAGGCCTTGGAAGAAGAGGCAGCACCAGGCGTGCGGCCTGGAACTCAGCATGCGACGATCCACGTATCAGAACTCTCGCTTTCCTGAGGGCATCTGTCTGGGGATGTGCATGGAGCCAGCTCCCAAGCTATGCATGCAGAGCATGGTTCTGCCCATCCCACACACCTGGCCCTCCTCCCCTCCCGGTGGGAAGCATGAAGTTGAGGATGGGTGGGGGGCCACACCACTGGCTAGGGTGGGAGGCAGCCAAGGGGAGCCAACGGGCTGATGCAGCGACCTGAGGGGAGGCCTTGTCCCTGTGCACCAGCCTGGCCACAGGCCTGGGTGCAGCTGTGGCACTGCACACCTGCCCAGCATCAGGAGGCAGACCTTGCTCTCAGCTGCCTGTTTGGCCTTGGGTGTCGCTTGCAGAGGGCAGGAGCCGCTCCCCTCAGGGTGCCAGGGCTGAGGAAACAGGGCAGTGCAGGCATTGCCCTTGTACTGCCAGAAGAGCTGTGGCCAGGTGGCAGGAGGCTTGGGCTCAGCCAACATGGGATGAGTGGATTGCTGCTGGAGAACAGGGCTCTACTGCACCCTGTCATGGCCCCCTTGTCAGGGGCTTCAAATTCTCTGTCTACAGACAGAGGACAAAGGCAGAGGACAAAGACACGAGGGACAGTGAGGAGCTGGTGCTGTCACAGTGCCTGGCCAGTCCACAAAGCCTACAGCTGGGGCAGGGAGTGCTGGTGGAAGCTCCCACTGGGAAAGTGGACAGTGTCAGGGCATGGCTGTGTCTCTGGTAGGGCTCAATGCTGGCACATTCAGGCTGTTTGAGGGAAGCTGCCAAGCACTTTTTGAGCAGCACTGTGCCTGTGCTGCCTGGAGGAGACAATGTGGTGAGGCCCGCAAGGTGTCAGTTGGAGGGAATGGGGTGAAACAAGGATGCTCCCTGCTGCCCTGGCTGCTGCTCTCCCTCCATTCAGACAGGCTCTGCAGCCCTGGACTCAAGCATCACAGGATCCAGCGTCTTCCAGGAATAAATCTCCCAGTAAAAGCACTTTCAGGACTTTTCCTTCCAGGTGCTGCTCAGCTCCTGCTGCAGGACTAGGCGGGGAGGGGACAAGATAAGCAACTCCTATGGCAGGGTCTTTTCAATAAAACATCCTGGCTCAAAGGCAGCATCAGAGCTGTAGGTCTCTGTGTGTGTCCATGCATGCATACAAGTTCTTGAATGCATGTGTCCTGCCCCATAGAGGATCTGTTTGTGCATGCTGTGCAAGAGCTGGAGGTCCTCCATGCTCACCTTGCACTCCTCTGGCTCTTGAAGGAGAGCTGCTGCTGCAAGCTGGGCCATCTGGTCCCACTGAGGGTGACATCCTGGCTGCTCCTCTGCAGAGAGCAGAGACTTCCCAGCAGCAGAGCCAAGAAGGGGCCAAGGTCTGACCTTGACAGGCTGCTGGTCAGAGGGGCCTGTGCTGCTCCTTGCTCTGCTGAGAGAGGTACCTGAGGAGCAACAGCACCATGGCAGAGGGATGGAACCGTTGCTGGGCTGTAACCTGGGCTGCAGGGAACACAGCCACAGCTCCAGAGACACAAACACCTTGTTTTGCCTGCTAGCTCTTTTTAAGGAGGTACATTAAAAAAACTAGGTCTGTCAGGGAAATACAAGAGTTTTAAGGATGTTCTAGTGCTCTGGAAAATGTTTAGAAGTTCTGTCTTGGAATATCATAGCAGACATACCTGCTATCATGAGATTTTAACCAGGCCAGAGGCACATACAAAGAATCAAAGGATCAGGCAGTGTTGCAGAGGTGAGGAACTAGGGAAGGCACAAAAAAAAAACCCAAAAAAACAAAAAGAGTCAAAATGCAGAGGTTTTGACCACACAAAAAAGGAACACAAGTCTGACATTAAATGTAAAATAAGGGTGTGTTGTTGAGGAAAGAGCCCTTTCCCTCTGAAAAAAAACAAAACAAAACAAAACAAAAACCCCAAAACACAAACAAATAAACAAAACCAAAACAAGCCCCCAATCACTACTTCTTCTCAGACTATGGCAGTGCAGGAGGGCAGGGAAGTGCAGAGATGAGTGCTGGAAGCTGAAAGCCTGACAATGATCTGCTCACCCTAACAAGTTATGTGTTGCTCTGTACTCCCAGCTGAAAAAAAAAAGGCATGAAACCACATTCAATATGCAAAACCTCAAATGAAAAAAACCATGCACAGCTCCTGACTGATCTGTCACCCCAGTGCCTGTGGCACTCGCTGGGAGAGCAGCCCTGCCACCACAGCTGCAGCCAGCAATCGTGCCCAGCTGAGAAGGGCAGCTGTGCAGAGATGTGACAGGAACCCAGCAGTGAGGGGCTTGGCCAGAACACAGCTGCAAGCTACCACTTGTTTCTTGGTGCCAAAGAAACCTGACATCCTGCAGCCTCCCCTGCTGCATCTGAAGAAGGAAACCAAATGCATGGCTTGCCTCCATAGAGCACAGCTGGGGTGCAGCAGGGCAGAGACACTTCAGAGCAGCTGGCACACAAGGGCTTGTGTCTGCCCTGGCTTCAGAGTGGTCAGCAGCACCTCCTGTCAGTGCAGGTGACATTCACAGGTGCTCAAGACACCAGTACACCAGAGCCTGAACCTGCTCCTCCCAAGTCATAAAGGCACCCTGGGCCCTGGCAGCCCTCAGCACAAGGAGGAACTGCTCCCTCAGGGCTCACAGCCAAGGAAGGTGTGGGAGGTCCAGGCTCCATGAGCCTGGGGCACAGCAGCCCTCACCACAGGCAGTGCAGGAGACAGAGTACCCTGCATGCTTATGCATGGCACCCATCCAGGACTCAAACCCAACTGACAACAGTAAAAAAATCAGTTTATTTCTCTATAAAGGCAGAGCATTCCTTTAAAAACCAGGTCATTTCACTTGTGAGAGGCTAGGGGGTTGAACTGCAGGGGCAAGGCCTTCATCACATACTGCTCCAGGCCAAGAGCTGTTGCTCCCTGAGGGTGTACACTGCCTGCATTAGGAAGGCTCAGAGCACGCAGGGTGGTCCTGCATGGCCTGGGAGTGAGCAGAGTGAGGAGCATCGGTCCCCCAGCCCAAGCTGGGAGCAGCTGCAGCTCGAGGCGGTTCATGCAGGCAGCACAGGACAAGGAGAAGGTGTTACAGCCTGTGCACTCCATGGCAGCAGTGCCAGCAGCCCCCGTGTCAGGAGGGCAGTGCCAGGGCAGTGCCAGGCACTGGCTGGCCCAGGTGCAGGCACAGGGTGAATCCTGAGTGGCTGGTCCGTTGTTGCAGAGATTTGGCTTAGCCCAGGGGAGTCTTGGGGCCAGCGCTGGGTGAGTGTCCAACCCCTCCCAGCACCGTCCAGCTGTCCGGGGGCGGCCCCAGGCGGTAGCATAATAGCTGTGCTGTAGGAGAGGTCAACGGGGGCACAAGAAACATTAATTCTGAAAAGTGAGCATCAGCCCCCCCTTGCCTTGCAGAGGACATGCTGGGGGATGAGACAATGCATCACTGAAGAAAGTTACCTGCTGGGCTGTGTGCTCCCTTCTCCAGCTCCTCCACGCTGCTTTGGAAGAGAACACAGCATGCATCATACCCCAGGCATGGCCTCCTGAGACACGGCACGCTCATGACCCTGACACGGCAGGAATGGCACAAGAGCAGCAGGTACTGGGAATGCAGAAGGCTCTAAGCCCCCTTGCTACCAAACTCTCTTCCCCAGCCAGCCTGTCCCAAGACTGCAAAGCCATATGTCCTTCCCATCAGGAGCCCCATGTCCAAAAGGGTGGTGCTTCATTGGACTACACATACAGCTCCAGTCTGTGCACACACTGGTTCCTGGGTGACGCTGGCTCAACCCAACCTCAGACCTGCCAGACCCCAGCTGGGTGCCTGCTGTGATGTACATGGAGAACAGCCACGATGGAATGGGCCTCACAGGGCAAACCTCACGGGTTTCTGCAAACCTGCAGGTTAATCCACTTCGCTGTACCAGCACAGGATACACACCATCAAGCTCAGCCCACAGGCCCAGTCCACTCAAAAGTCAGTATGACCAGGCATCCATCCTGGTCCAACCCCCAGGGAAATGAGTGGGAGAAGAAGGACAACTGAATCCCATGTGAGAGGCATGTCTGGACAGGCTGGCCTCAGCAAAGACTGGCAGAAAGAGAGTAAGAAATATCTCTGGATGCATCCTGGCCATCAACATAAGTCCCCCACATCTCTGCTGTAAAAGCTGGACTGCATGGTCTGTTCCTCCACCACTCAACGAACCCTCTGTTTGCTTGAGTTCTCAGCTGATAGAAGCAGAGAAAGACCAGGAAACTCCCCCCTTGGTTCCATGCAGCTCTCCTCCATGATCGCACTATGCCCATGGCTCAAGCAGCTCCCCTTGCATGGGGCACAGGGAAGGAAACACGACAGAGTTCATTAGAGAGATCCCTGAATACAAGCAGCAGCTTACCACCTACCCAGGTAAGGTTTCATTGACATTATCATCTTCCTCCTCCTCCTCCACCTCCTGGGAAGCAAACAAACAAAAACCCACCATGACATCTCATTGCATGGGCAGGTCTCTGCCAGGAGCAAGGCTGGGCTGCTCAGATGCCGTCTGGCCCCTTCATAAGACAGTCACGCCCCAGGCACAGTACAAAGGCTTCCCACAAGCAGTGGGGAAAGACTGGAGTGCTGGGCTGCCAGAACCCTCTGGGCTTGGGCACACAAGGACAGACAGACCATAGCTTGGCCCCTCCAGGTGCAAAGCCTCAAATGCAAGCATGGACCATGCTAACAGAGCTGGTGACACAGTGCAGCTCTGCCCAGGGACAGTGGTGAGTGGGCACACCCTGCAGCTGGAGGGGCAGGCAGAGACTAGCAGGAGCAGGCTGCACATAGGTACAACCCTAAGCACTGCCAGGATGGACTCACACTGGAAACATGAGGCCCCGGACCAAGCATCCAGAAGCTCCCGGACAGGGATATAGTGAGACCAGGATGACAATGCTCTGATAGCTGTGGCCATGCAGGAGGTGCAGTGCAGATGGGCTGGGCTGAGCCTTAGCCCAGGCTGGCAGGATGATGATCCAAAGGTCCTCTCCTTCAGAGGCAACTCTCACCCCAGCCATGAAACCAGGTGTGCAGCCCAGGTCCCTGTGTGACAGGGCCAGCAGAGCAGGGCTGAAGCTACAGCAGTGCTGGGCCTGAGAGCAGAGCTTCTGAAGCACAGATACCAAGGGACTGCACCTGCTGTGTGAGCTACACAGTACAGTGCACCTCCTCACATCAGGCTGCCATGTGCGATGGGGGCTGTGCAGGGTTCTGGGAGGGCAGGAGCAGGGAGCTACAGAGGGGTCACTCTGTCCCTGCCCTAATTCCAGACAGCCCTGGACATGGGCCTGACCTGCACATACTGTACCCCAAAGTGGTGTCTGAAGGGAGCGCTCCCTGAGGGAGCTGGCTCACAGGGTCTGCCAGGCTCACTGCTCTCCAAGACAGATGAAGGGTGAAGGGGCTGATCCTGCCTAGAGCCTGGGACAGGGCAAAAGCAGCAAAGTTAGTGCCTGCAACCTGCAGAAAGCCCAGCTGGGAATGTACAGGCAAGACTGTGCGTGGGGAATGGGGAATCCCTGCAGTGCTGGCAGGAGGGTACAAACAAGGGTGAGAAGTCACTGCTCAGGGCAGGTGACCTGAGCTGGGCTACAGCTCAGGCAATGCACAGCAGTTCAGCATAGACAGCAGGTACACCTCCCACCCCAGCCAGAGATGGGCACTACCAGAGAACACAACCATAAGGACAGCACTCCCTGTTTGGTGTGTTTCACCAGCCAGGCAGCAAGCCATCTCCCCTCCAGGCAGCCCAGGACAGGATCCCACACCAGAGACACTGATTCCAGGGCTGTGCAGAGAGATATATCTGAGAAATTCCTCCTACCTGCAGTATGTGTTGCTTCCCAGAGATCAAGTGCCATCTGAAAGGCCTGGGCCACGGTCAGAGTCACAGCCTGGGCCTGTGCATATGAAAGAGACGGAATGCCTGCGTCCACCTGGGCCCTCAATCCAGGATAACCCATGAGGTGAGACCCGCCCCCCCAGCATCCCTTGATGCCTTTCTCTACAGAATACACAGATAGAAGGCCAGAGCTCAGTTCTGTGTCTGTCTGCCCCTGGGGGCCAGCCACCCTCTAGAGCAGACCCTCAGGAGTTGGGACAGGAAATCCCCCTTTGCTCGCTCCCTGCCTCTGCAGCACATAAGCATACCTGCTCCCTGGCTCAAAATCCAGCTGAGGTTCGCAGAGGTAAAGTCCTTCTGCCACTGAAGGCAAAGAAAGCAGGCCCTTGCTCCCACCCACACCTCACGGAGCCAAGAGTAGAAGGCAAGTGCTTACAATCTTCTTCTTCGGTGAGAGGAAGGCATGGCACTCCAGTGCCCCGCTCTCCTGGCTCTGGGCAACATAAGCAAAGACCTTGTTCTGCAGCTTGTCTGTTGTGCAGTAGGAGATCCTGTGGGCAGAGAAGACCTGTCAGGACAGTCTGGAACCCCAGCACGGGACTTCTGCTGCACTCCCAGCACAACAGCAAGCACTGCTGACAACCTGAAGCTTTCACCTGCCCAAGCAGATCAGACAGCCCAAACCCCCAGCAAGGGCCAGAGGCCGCCTGGTACCTGCAGCAGGTAAGAAATCACTGCATCCACAGGCACTCCCTCCTGTGCCATCCCAGAGTGCCATGTAGTTTTCTGATGGCCAGCTCAAGCCAGTGTGTGAACTCAAGCTACTCAAGCTTTGGGACAAGAGGAGCACAGAAGGGTGGGTAATTGCCTCCAAGGACACAGCTGGAGGCCAGGCAGAGGGATGGTCTGACCTGGCACATCAGCTCTGGCGCTGAGACCTACATTTTGCAGCAAAGAGATGTCCTATGTCTGCTTCCCATCTAGCCACCAGACTGCACACTTACTGCCCTCACACCCAGCACCCACAGTCACCAAACCCAGCCAAAGGACAAGTGGTAGCACGAGAAATCAACATCAGCTCTCACAGCAACTGCCTTTAGCCCACCCAAGTAAGCTGCAGTTTCTGGCATCCTGCAGCCAGAAGAGTGCTCCCACAGCAGTGAAGACAGACCCACAGTCCTGTCCTATCTGCGGGGCTTTCCAGTCACAAGCCTCAAAATCCTGCTGAATGCCAGAAGAGACAAGCAGGGCACATGGAAATGATGGATAAGCTGATGAACTCAAGGCCACACAAGACCCTGCCTACACTCAGCCTCAGGCAGTGCTGGGAGCACAGCAGAAAGAGGGCACAGGCCTCAGAGAGCCAAGGAAAGACCTAAGCTTGAAGGTACTGCTGACAGAAGGCCCAGCCCTCCCTGGCTGCTCAAATTCCCATCAGTCTGCAGCTGGCTGCTGGGGACCACCCAGCCCACACCCATGTATGCCCACCTGTAGATGGAGATGTTCTCCACCATCTCCTTAGTGTCTGCATCCTGCAGTGAGATGCCCCTTGGAGACACTGTCAGAATCACCTTCTGAAACTTGCGAGCTCCGACCCGTGCCTGGCAGTGGAAAAACACCAACAATCTCTGCAAATCTGGCAAGGGTCTTCACCTCACCCCCTTGCTGGAAGGAGCCCTGCAGACTCTGTACAGTATCACTCACTTGGATACAAGATGGGACAGCAGTCGGGCAATCAGGCATGCCCTACACACACCACTCCTCAAATCTGTTCACACTACTGCCACACACACAGGAAAGGACAGACCTCACCTCTCCCAATACTTCACCCTCCTCTCTGTGCTGTGGCAGGCAAAGCTCTGCTCCCAGCCAGGTTCAGGTGTGGGAGCAGGTGGATGGGGCTGTCCTGGTGGAAGACAACTTCCTCACAGCACACTGGCAGACACCAGTAGCCTCTTGCATACCACCCTCCTCTTAGGAAGGGCACAGTCTCTCACTGGAGTTCAGGGCTAGGACACAGGCACTTCCTGGAGCGCAGGGACTGGGCTCTGAACCCAGCACACGAGGGCCCCAGGACTGGGTCTCACCGTGGCCACGATCCTGCGGATGGCAGCAGCAGCCATGTCTTCTCCTTTTGGTTTTTCTACCAGCGTCATGCCCAGATACTTGAGGGTGAAGCACATCCCCTCAAGCAGTGGCTCCTGCATATCAGCCCAGCTCTCAGGAAGCTCTACGAAGACAAAAGCCCTTAGAACCCATGTGCCAGCAGTCCCACAGCTAGTCCTGCCAGAGTCACCCCATGGCTCCCAGCAGCAGTGTTGCTCCCTGTCCCCAGCAGGACACTCTCCTAGCTCTGTGACACTCTCGTAAGAGGAACAGGAGTGGGCAGTTCACCCTTGAAGCTCTAGTCCTCTAGCCCTGGAAGTCCAGGTTCTGTCAGCACAGACAGACATCTCCTGCATACCCGCACAGGGCTGTGGATGCTGCAGCCCTCATTGCTGCCTGCAAAAACCTTGTGCTCCTGGGTCTCATCTGTTTCATTACAAACAAAATGTTCTCTGTAGTGCATTCATCTCAGTCACCTGGGCTGCTCACACACCTGAAGAGCAGCAGCATTCACTGCCAGGCTCAGATGAAAATCCCTCAACTGGCCCAGTGTAAGCAAGCCCCTTGGCATCTCATCTGCAGCAGCAGGCTGCCAGGGCAGGGGCAGCTTAGTCCGCACTTGTGATCCAAGCTGGGGTGACTGGGAAGTAACTGCACCACAGAGATGCTTTGTTAAGAAAGAGATAGGAATTGCCAAGGTATGCACCACTCACACTAAGCTAATACTTTTCAGGGTTATTTTCACCTCTTCCCTGGGATTTGCTCCCTGAGCATTACTGGCACACTTGCAGAAGGGTCCAGCTCATAATTGGAATAATCTGAACCCACAGGGAAATCAGGAGACTTTATTTGCACAGCATACTCTTGCACAAGTGACTACTATCAGGGAGGCTGCCTGGTGCCATGCAGGCACCAGTGACCTCCATCCCGGCCAGTAGAACCCTGTCTGCCCCTGGGGGCCAGCCACCCTCAAGAGCAGACCCTCAGGAGTTGGGACAGGAAGCCCACAGGAGCTGGGCACTCCAAACTCTGAGGACAGTCCAAGTACACCAGCGCTGCCAGGGCAAGTGCTGCTCCAGCAAAGCCTTGGGCAGCTGACTGAGAACAGCCAGACGAGGCCCTCCTGTGCCACAGGGTACCTGCGGGGTCATGGAATCATGGAGCGGTTTGGCTGGGAAAAGACCTTAAAGCTCATCCAGTTTCACTCCCACAGGCAGGGACACCTTCCACTAGACCAGGTTGCTCGAAGCCCCGCGCAGCCCAGCCCTGAACACTTCCAGGGATGTGTCCGTGGGTTGCTGTGGGATCCTGCCGCAGACAGCACGGGCTGGCCTGGCACACGGGCAGAGGAGCAGGCGCGGCAGCCCGAGGGGCCCAAGGCCTGCGGAGGACCCCGGTGCAGCCCAGCGTGTTCCAGCGCCCGGCAGGGCAGTCCAGGCCCGTCAGCCCCCTGTGGCCCTGTGGGGCAGGAAGCGACAGCCCGGGGAGCGGGGCAGAGA